GCATAAGTCGGAAACGTATACCCGTTATGCGAAAATGTTCGCAACTCGAAAATCCTATTTCTGGCTTATGGAACTTTTTCTGTAAGTGTGAATTTGCGTAAGTTGGGTCTTGCATAACCCGGGGAGCGTCTGTATAATAAATGAATAAACATCAGCTTCTAAACTGATAAATATGAATGCCTTACTTCACTAAAAATAACTCAAACTAAAATGTTCCTTGCACAATTCCAGAGGCCAAATTAAGCATATTTTCACAAATGTTTGATGCACACACACCTGCCCAGTGTCTAGTCACTATCACTGGGATCACATCTAGTATATCCAAGGATGGAGAGTGAGAAACTTAAATTGAATTATTCACAGCAAAACGACAAGCACAGGGATGTAAGGTGAAAGATCATTATGCCTACTCATTAAAAGGCATAACAGGTATACGAACAAGGAAAATTATTTGTAAAGTACTGCAAGTGCTGTCACCTCTTCTGCAAGAAATCTTTCTCTATAGAGAGTTTTAAAAAGTGATAATTTAGATTGCAAAGTTGGATTAGGTAGCTCAGTAGTCAAGAAGGTGCTCAAGTGTACTAATACAGGTTTGCAGCAAGTCGAATCTGAACACCAACCCTTCCTCCACCTCCAAGCCCTCAATTAGGAATGGACAAAATATTTGATTAAAATAAATGGAATGTACTATTCAGATGTGTTGGAATTTTCCACACTGTACCCCCAAAATTAACTTCTGAATTCAGATCCAGAGGATATTAAATGTATTTTTTTTTGTTCTATCCCAAACAGCAACTTCTGGTGGACGGTGTTAAGGGGGAGGGGTAGTGTTTTGATTTTATCCAAATAATTTTTGCTCATCTGCCAATAAACTGTTAAAATTGTTTTTCTACTCATACAATACTGGAGACTCTGATCCAATTTCTTGCACAAGAAGACAATTTTTCTTATTTATTTGGATGAAAAGAATGATGAACAGTTTTCCAATCCCTTTGGAGGAAAGTGCAGAACCACTTCAGTGATCCTATCTACTTCAGATAGATCAACAAAATCTTTTGTTCAGAAGTATCAGACTGCTAACTGATCTAAAAGAATCACATGGACACATGAACTTAGATAATCAGCCAAAAAGACCAGAACAGCTGAAATCTGATAATGACCATATTTGAGTATTTTCCTTTTGTGGGGAAGAGGGAAAGTAAGAGAGAGAAAATATATTCTTTACATACATACACCTTTTTTATGGTAGAAAAAGAGCAGAGAGGAGAGCAGGGGGAGAAGAGTGACGATAAGGTGCTGGATGCAGCTGATGGTGCAAGACATCCGTCAGAATGCAGAAGGAGAGGGGATATTTTATCTCGGGTGAGGAACAGGACTTGTGAGGTTATGAGGAGGAGTTAAGATGTGGTACTGAGCCATGTATAAGGAACACAGTAATGTGGATGGACTTCAAGAACACCCACCAAGGACTGTACTTGACCCTATACCCGTATGTCCCTGAAGTGGGGAAGGTTGCCACCAGACACACCAGTAACCATATGCATCTGTGGGGTAGGGGCAGAGGTGAACTAAACTGTTGATCTGGACTCTAGCTAGGATCCCTTCTAAGTATTTTTAAAGGTGGATCTGAAGTTATGCTCCATGAGACTTATGCAGGACATGCACTGCTCCCAGATTGATGATTAGCAAATAAGAATTTATTAATATACTATCAGGCAGGAGCAAGTAAGATAAACTTGTTCAGAAGAGACTACTACAGATGTTTCAGTGAAGTTAGAAAGGTTCAGCGACACATATGTTTAATGTTTAACATATAAATATATTTTAATTTTAAAATATATTTAATATATAAATATATCTAATATGTACAATTAAAATAATGAGAACCAGAGGGGAGAAGGGAGCCAATATCTGTATGTACAAAGGATCAGTCAAATACAGCTAGTGTTTAGCAACAAAACACACTAACACTAGCATAAGACAAATTTGGTTCTGGATTTAGAACCTATGTAAGTACGAGATTTATAATTTCCAAGTTTCCCTACTCAGTTGTAGCTGCCCAAATTAAAATAATCCTCTCCTTTTCCCCTTTAAGTAATCCTAGCCCTGCTTTTAGGACTACAAGGACAATAACATTACAAAATGCAAACCTTAACTTTACTGTGGAATCATGTACACTTCAGAGCATGCAGTCATCAGTCAGCCTTCCCACTGAAAAACTATATCTAAAACCATAGTAAACAACAATCCTTAGAATGTATGGAGTTGAAAAGATTTGGAAACTGGTTCACATAAGTCCAGAAGTACAAATTACTATTCAAACTATCCAAACATATGAAGGCTTCTTTCAGGCCATTTGACCTTCCATTCCTATGCAATTCCTACACCAGCAACAGGCTATGTAGAAGACCCTTTGACCCACCAATAATCTCCATTTCCCCCATTCCTGGTATGCTTTTAGTGAAGGAGCGGGAGGGGAAGACTGAAAGCCTGGTACCTATATCTACCTTCTTTAGTGGATAACAATCTCAGTATCATCTTTGATGTCTTTCAGAGACATAGCTCCACTCTCCCTCCCAAGGGCTGGTCTACACTATCATGGTAAATTGACCTAAGTTACGCCACTTCAGTTACGTGAATAATGTGATTGAAGTCGACATAGCTTATGTAAATTTACCGTGGTGTTTACACTGTGCTGTGTCAACGGGAGATGCTCTCCTGCCAACTTACCTTACTCTTCTCGGGGAGCTGGAGTACTGGAGTCAACGGGAGAGCACGCTGCCATTGACTTAGCGGGTCTTCACCAGACCCACTAAATTGGCACTGCTGCGATTGATGTACAGTAACTGATCAGCAGTGCTGATCTACAGTAACTCCTCACTTAAAGTCGTCCAGGTTAACACTGTTTTGTTGTTACATTGCTGATCAATTAGGGAACATGCTTGTTTAAAGTTGCGCAATGCTCCCTTATAACGTTGTTTGGCAGCCGCCTGCTTTGTCCACTGCTTGCAGAAAGAGCAGCCCGTTGCAGCTAACTGGTGGGGGCTTGGAACCAAGGTGGACCGGCAGCTCCCCATCAGCTCCCCGCTCCCTTAAGTTGCCTGTGCAGCAGCCGCCCAGCAGGCTATCAATTGCCGGCAGTTCAGCTGTCCCTCCCCGCACTGCCATGTGCTGCTCCTGCCCTCTGCCTTGGAGCTGCTCCGGGGAGCCTCCTGCTTGCTGTGTGGGGGGATTGGGGAGGGGAACAGGGGGGCTAATGTCAGGGTGTCCCCCTCCCCCCACTCCTGTCCCCCGCTTACCCGTTCTCCATATAGAGCAGAGTGGGGACACGACAGGGCTCAGGACGGAGAGAGCTTGCTGGCCGCAGCTGCTGTCTCAACTTCCTAATCTTTTTAAAGGTAATGTACTTAGAGTGGTGTCAGCTTATTTAAAGGGGCAATGCACATCTCTCTCTCTCTCTCCCACACATAGGGAGTGTGTCTCTATCTCTGTCTGCCATGCTGTCTCCCCTCCCTCCACTTGTGCTGCCTTGTGGAGTGTGAGGCTACATTAACAACAATGTGTTAACCCTTGAGGGCTCAGCCGAATGCTAGTTCATCATTTAGCAGTAAAGCATTCCCCGGGAAATAACCCACCCTCCTCCACCCTCTAACATCACCACCTCAGCCAAGCTTCACAATCATCATTGCTGGTACAGAATTAAATTGTTTGTTTAAAACTTATATATATATGTAGTTTTTTGTCTGGTGAAAAAAATTTCCCTGGAACCTAACCCCCCTATTTACATTAATTCTTATGGGGAAATTGGATTCGCTTAACATCGTTTCTCTTAAAGTCGCATTTTTCAGGACCATAACTACAACGTTAAGTGAGGAGTTACTGTACTGGTAAGTGTAGACTGGCCTTAGAAAATAAGTCAAAATTACTTCCGATGAGCACATGAGGTATATGCTCATCTAGGGCCTGATCCATGGGCTTCAATGAGCTTTGAATCAGACCCCTAATCAGAATTTCAGCCATGTGACAAAACCCAACTGAGCTTAAAACTCAAAACGTCATCACAAGAAAGCTCTTGTTAACATCCAAAGGGCATGGGGGAGCGGAAGGAACTCAACCTCAGCACAATTTTCACTGACACAAAAATGTTGCAAAACATATTTCATTGTTGCAGGACCCTCAGGCACTTGAAAAATAGAAAATTTAGAGTATTTTCAATTTTGTTTCAAATATTTTTCATTGCTCTTGTATTAAGCACTTCAATAGTAGGAAAGTTTACTTAAGGTAAGTGAACAGTGTTTGTCCTCAGAAAGCACTACCCAGGATTCCCTTGTGTTCCTTACAGAATCATAAAAAATGGGAGATGATGAAGTCCTCTTATATCACCTGTTCCATCACCAGGACTCCATATTATATTTTTTAGCTGATTCTCATGTCAAATCCCAACAGATTATTGTCCTTTATAGATTAATGTGACTAAAAAGAAATTAAATATTTTATTTTGCTTGTCCTCTGAAGTCATTAAAATAAGGGTTTCAGCACCTTCGGGTTTCCTATTTCCATTGTTTCTGGGAAAGCAAAGCATGTGTATTATATTACAAACTGGATTTTATTACAGAAGACGAAAATCACCGACTAATATAGATTTTTAAAAATGAAAGCACAATGGTTAACAGGTTGATAAATCAAACCTATAAAACTAATCTCAATATAATAATTTTATCCTCCTATTACTATTATAATATTTTATAGTGAAAATACCAAAGTAATCAAAATGAAAAAGTATAGGCAGCTTCTACACATGAGAAATAAATATACCTAACAGTAGCTAATTGGACCCCCCCCCCCCCTCCAAACTATTATTTTGCATAAAGTGTGCATGACAATGGGGAGGGGGGGGGAAGTCCATGGAAGTGTTGTCTCTATAAATATATAAACTATTCCTAATAAATTCAGGACAATTTATATAATTACATACTTATTCTGCTTTGTACAATACTCACAGAAAGACTGTAAGAAGGCTCCATTATCACTGGTACTGACATCTTCCCTTGAAGATTCAATTTGGTTAAGTAAAAAATCTTTTCCCCCACAATCCTCTCTTTTTTCATGCGACGTACACCATACAGTCTAAAGCGAACTGCATAATTCCCAATCATCTCAGATTCAACGTGATTAAATTTGAATGTCTCTGCGAAGACAGGGCATGGTCCCCTCTGGATGCTGGTTTTTGCTCTCTGTTTTTTTATAGGTAGGAGAACTAGATGTACTTGCCATGAGTTTCCACCTGTCCTGTTATATGTTGGGATGTCTGTGACAGCTGTCACTGTTACTAGAAGCTTCTGTTCTTGTGAGTCATAGTCAAAAGTCACATCCAGCGTGCCGTATTTAGCTACTGGCTCAGGATCAAAAGGTTTAGGAAGCTGTGAAGATGATCCTCGAGCTGACATATCCTAAGGAAAGAAATATAAATGCTTTTATTTATTTTTGGTATTCTATTATTAAATCTAGCATAGAAATGCATGGTTTTCTCTAAGCAGTATGATGTGACTATGATCTTTTTGTTCACTTCATAAACAAGGTAATTAAACACTGAAGAATGAAGAGGTGGCTGACTGGCAACCAAGGAAAATCAAAAGCTACTTCCAGCTGGTCAAAATAGACAAACCCAGGCACCAACTGGAAAAGAAAAAGCTAGAATTAATAAGTTCCGCATAAGCTTAGATAAATAAGCTGTCATTCATTGTGAGGTGCAATCCAAATATCTGATTCAAGTGAGGGGTTCTGCAGAATTTAAAAAAAACCCAATACTCAAGTTTAACATATTTAACACATTAATACCTGATTTGATGGTAACAGAACATAGTGAAATATATAGGACTAGAGCAAGTAATGGGCCGAATGCTGCAGTTGGTTGCACATACAACTCCCACTGCAGTCAGTGAGAATTGTGCACATGCAGCAGATGGCTAATATAGCCTGTTAAATGTAACTTCTTAGAAGTATACAAGAACCATACCTATGTCAGAAATGTCTTCTGTACTTGCCATATACTGTATATCAATTCTTAAAGCAATTATTGCTAATGCTTAATTTTTAAAATCTTCAGTGTTCTCATTAGGTGTGTACTTAAAAATTTAATAGCTAATAAAATGGTGAGGACATGCTGTTACTTTCTGTTTCAAATAAAATCACTTTGTTTGCACAATGAACCCTTCTTTAATATGGGATGATTTTTCTCCCTTACAGTATAAGTAGTTTGCTACGAATTTACTCCATTTACATGGTATTGGTAGTTTAGTGAAAGTTAACCCAGCTGTACCTACAAATATATTCTAATCATGGGGCATGATTAAGACTGTATTTTTTAAGAAAATAAGTGCTATTTTGTGTGAAGCAATATGTCAGATTTCATAGAGCAACTTTAAATTTCATAAATACAGTGAGTGCTTCATACAGTGCTAGAAATGTTTCAGTATATATATATATCTATATATAAACAAATAATTTCTACTCACTATTTGACAAAATAATTTTATTTTTTTAAAGTCAAGTATAAAGAAATAATTTGTGTGCCTCCCATTCAAAAACACAACAATATTTCAATAAAACCAACAATCTGGAACTCCTCCTATAGAAAGTGTTTTTTCGGTGGTGTTCATTCTGACATAGCATGATGTATAGATGAAAATTCTCTGGCATTTATCATTCAGCAGAACATGAAAAGAATCTTTTAACACATGCACTGTGGACTGACCCAAAAGATGACTGACTGCTAGGGTGACTGGGACAGTCCCGATATTTGGGGCTTTTTCTTATATAGGCACCTATTACTCTCCACCCCGTACTGATTTTTCACATTTGCTGTCTGGTCCCCCTTCTGACTACAATATTTATCAATCTATATATTTTTTCCATTTGGGAAAGCCCGGTTGCCTATCTATGCACCTATGTTTTCTTTTCCCATGATTGTCCTGTGATCGCTGGTCTGTGTCAGCAAGCTCAACGCAAGTAAGCCCAAAGAACAGGCCAGCTATTTCCAACAAAGCCCTCCTCAGCTACCTGCTGTATTCACATCCCTTCGTCAGCAATATTGTTTGTTCAGTAAAAATCCACATCTCAGGTTTTTCCTCTCTGCATTAGCAGTTTATTTTTAAAAAAGGGGGCATAAAGTTTCAATGCATGTTTTACACAGCAAATTGTCAACTCCACATTTTCCATTAGATCTGTGATTACCATACAAATAATACAGCCATAGTCATGATCAGTGACCAATTTCTACGAGGACATCAGGAGGGAGCAACAGGTCCTCAAACCTCCTGGATGTCATTAAAATTACATTCATCCCCATTTATTTATTTATTAGGGAATGGGAAAATTCTAGATTACTGAGGGAGCCATTTGACCAAAGGTTGGGCCTGAATTGAATTTATAATATAAAATAATTCTGATCAAGATAAAGCAATGGTTCTGTATGCTTGCATACTGTACCTCAATAACCTCAGTCCAAGGACTGATACAATTAGGAGGTAAAGAAATGCCATGGCTAGTGTGACAAAAGATACTGTATTAATAAGATATTTTTGAAGTATAATATAGATCATTGTATTATTCATATAAGAAGTATTTATTCCAAACATGTAAAACTTCAATGTAAATTCTGAGGTCCTTTCATATGGCTGAAGATATGACTTGTTCATATCAATGAATAGGAGATGCTATAATGTAGATTTTTTAATCTAAAAATTGTTTGCTTCTGGTTTAAGAATTGATACTATTGGTTGTCTTTAAACATTTTAGACATCTACATATTAAAAATATTAAAAATTCAGTTTAGGAAGAATAATCATTACAAATTACAAAGGGAAAAATGAGAAAGTAAGTGTACCATAAATCTATTACATTATCCATAATAAAAATATTTCTTTAATCTCAAAACCATAAGGATACTTAATCAAGATTTTTCTCCAGTTCTCTAGGGAGTTTAATATGAAAGGCACTAAGAGAAATATAATTTTGATTGATTTATTGCTAAATTATTAATTGAAAATTGTTGTAAGAAGCAAATTGTTAATATATAGTTCCCCATGATAATGGATATCATAGCTTTTACTGGTTTAAAAAATAAACTATTCCTGCTGGGGGGTTGTTTTAAAATGAAGTGTCATTGAGGTCATTATACAGAGCAAGTAAAAATCTTATTGCTATATTATTTGGCAATATACATTTTTCTTCTTTATAATAGACCTTTGAAGTTAATGTACACAGTCTCTGTAAGATGTAAATTAAAATCAAGATATTTATAAGATCTACAAGAGAAGTTAATATACTATTGTGTTACATCCAAGATGCCTACAAGTGTAGTGCTAGACTGTATTTCATTTACCTCTGGGCTAAGGACAGCAGTACTATCACTGGGTACATCCTCTTCATATCCTTTGTTATGGAAGCTTTCTATTTCATGTCCAGTGCTTCCTTCACTTGGGCACTTGTATGAACATCTTGGACTGTTGCTACAGTGGGAAAATTCACATTTACTGTCATCAACTTCAGAGGGTGTACAAGAGAGGTGAGGAGAACCACTATCATCCTGATATGGTGGAGGCTGCAGTTCATCCAGTGGAGGTGTTCTTCTCATTCTTTGAATACAGTTTGCTGTGAATAAGTGATAGCTCTTTACTTATACACTTTCTGAACTGAAAATATATGTAGCATTTGGTTATTAACTGCTTTGGAAAATGACTGAATTCAAACATCTGGACACAACATTTAAACCTTACAATTATCTTCAATTTCTTGATGTTTCAAATTAAATAGGATACTCCTGAAAACACACTATGTTAATAAACAAATAACTCATCTATCTCTTTTAGAGACAATGTATAGGGAAAAAAGCAAATACTTGAATACATGAATTGTATATGCATGACATCAATATTTTACACAATATAAAAACTCTGCCCCTGATTGTGAGATGTGCTAGGCCCCTCCAACTCTATTGGATGCAATTCACTAAGTCAGAGTTTTGGGAGCATGAAGCAGTTGGGCAAATGAAATCCACTCCCAGCCCACAGTGGAAGATTGCTGAGTAGCTCCTATGTGGCTGCTATTCCAACAGGCTGAAATAGTGACTATAACTCCTCCATGTCAGTTGTGTGAAGTATCAGGGACAATGGATCCATGTAAATGAAGATCTGCAGCCTCTTTCCTTGCCTGCTGGCAGTGTGGCTTAGTACATCATCTTATGTAGGGCTGGCACAAAGGCCTTTTTTCCATTGCTTGTAGGGACCGCACTGGCACTTCTGAGCAGGTGCTCGGTCAGTGGACTACCTGTTCAGCCTTTACACAGAGTTTAAGTAATGCAAAAGACTAGCAACATGCCCCTTCTCATAGGTGAATTTCACCCACTGAACTTAAACCTAATGGCTTCTCAGCATCATATCCTCTGTTAGTTATTAAAATCAAAGGGCTCAAAATTTGGGTACCTGGAAGTTAGAGACTGATGCCTACTCACTGAAGCCATTGGAAAGACTACTACTGACTTTAAAAAGAACAGGAGTACTTGTGGCACCTTAGAGACTAACAAATTTATTAGAGCATAAGCTTTCGTGGGCTACAACCCACTTCTTCGGATGCATATAGAGTGGAACATATATTGAAGAGATATATATACACACATACAGAGAGCATGAACAGGTGGGAGTTGTCTTACCAACTCTGAGAGGCCAATTAAGTAAGAAAAAAACTTTTGAAGTGATAATCAAGATAGCTCAGTACAGACAGTTTGATAAGAAGTGTGAGAATACTTACAAGGGGAGATAGATTCAATGTTTGTAATGGCTCAGCCATTCCCAGTCCACTGACTTTAGTGAGCTTTAGATCAATCCCCAAAGTGACTTGATTTTCCAAGGGGCTGAACATCTTCAGCTTCCACTGACACCAGCTGGACAGATAGATCTGTGTCTACTCAGCACCATGGAAAATCAAGGTGCCAGAATACAGATGTAGAAGCCTGACTTTATGCACTCATTTCAAATTTTAGCTTATTGCTTTACTACTTGGCACTACACAGTAAACTGCAGATGGGAAAATAAAATATGGTCTGTGTTAGCAGAAGCAATAGAAATTCCAAAGACACAGGTAAAATATGTACCATAGAATCATAGAACTATAGGGTTAGAAGGGACAGCAAGCATCATCTAGTCTAACCCCCTGCCAAGATGCAGGGCTTCCAGGCTTATTGATGAGTCTTGGTAAGGTTGTTGACGAGCTGGCTGATACATAACATCAGTTTTCATTCAGCTGATGGTAAGGGCAAAGTTATGAACAAGGTCAAACTGCTGCAAAAAGGTAGGTGGTGGTCAGATTTGCAGCACTGACTCACCCCCTGGGAATGTAAGGTGAAAGGCTTTAAAGGTGTAAGCCCTGGTGTTGGAAACCCCTTTCTCCATGCAGTAGGCAAGGTATCACCAACCGTCTCTCCCCTTGAGGTGTGATTATCAGGTGGGGTTTGAACCTGCTGTGCGCATTGCGCTAGTCGCTCCTTTTTAGGGGGGCTGGGAAGGAATTTTTCCCGTACCACCATATTGGCTTCAGTGGAGTGGGGTTGGGTTTTTTTGCCTTCCCCACAGAGGGTGGCAGGGAAGACCTATTATGGTGGGCACAGAAGGTGGCAGGCTACAATTTATTTTGTAAGTGTGGGGTGGATGTCCAGTGCAGGTACTCCAGAGGGAAGGTATCCAGTGACCAGATAAATGGCCTGGTAAAGGACTTAAAAAGGAGGTGCTGGTTAAAGGAACAGAACGGTGTGGAGTTTGGGGCTCCTATGGTTGGAAGGCAGGGAGCCAATCCCGCCCTTTCTGATAGCCCACCTTACCCCTCCTATGAGGGAGGGTGGATGGCAATGGATTTGCTGGAGGGGTCTGGATGGAAAAAGAGGGGTAGCTGGTGGAAGCCCCCTGGGTAATTACAAGGTTACCTACATTGTACACTTTTATCTGCTGGGTAGTCCCAGACATCTAATAATAAAGTTGCGTCCTGATTAAAACCATATCAAGTGTCTCCTTCTTTCGGTATAGTCGGACAATGTCACTAATGTTATTTCAAATCTAAAGCAACAGTTTCTGCTCAAAGTGGCAAAATGCCCACAAACAACATTAAATGAGACAACTACCACCATACAGCTATGCCTCAATTTTTTATTTTTTTAAAAGTTGCAATCTACAATGACAATTTTTTTCAGTAATTTGTGCACAACTTAGAGAAACTAAAGTGTGTCCGGATAGCTATAAGCACCATAATTATCTTAAATGAGTAAATAAAATGACTATGTGATTCATTTCCCCCCCCACTTTGATGAACTCTTTCATATGTCCCTATGGGAAAACTGCATAAGGCTGTGTGACAGAAAAGGTGCTCTTAATGTAGGTGGAGTAAAAGTGAAGAGAAGAAAATTCCTTTTAAGCAGCTAGAGTGATTCATAAATGTCAGAAAAGCAGAAACATAAATGCAAGTTTTTAACTATTTATTTTTGAAAGCTTACTTACCAAAGAGAACTACAATGTAAACTATTAAAAACAGGTTTTGAATGCCGATATTAAAGATCTAAGTACACATTTGTATAATCAGTGTAAACAGGCACAAACCATTTCAGAATCAAAAAAGCCCTTAACTCAACATAAAGAGGTAACAAAGTTTTTAAAGGAATTAGACTGAAAATGGTTTTCGAGGTAAAGTATTTTTTTTAAAAATAGTAACAGTGGACCTTTTTGTATTAAGAATCATCTAATATTAGATAGACCTTTCTTCAGGTTAAATTTTATTTCCCCTATGTGCCCACACAGATGTAAATGATCAGAGCTGCAGAATACATATCCATACCCCTTGTCCAACTCTTAATCAGAGAGGACTGAATTTCCTTATATACTGAGCAATTGCTACTCCCCTGACTTGAGTTGGAACAGCAAGTAATCCAACACTTCTGAAAATCAGGCCCATTATCTCACGGCTGCCTAAATTCTTTCTGATCAATTGTGCCTGTTCTCAATTTGTTTAAACCCTTGCCCCAAAGTTCAGAGTCAAGCAAACAGAAGTATGGATTAGTAACTGCCCAGCATTGTTGGCCTAGTACATTCTGGATGGAATTCCACTGAATTCAATGGAGTTACACCAGAGATTAATTTGGTCCTGCATTTTTCTATTGCAAGAAGCCCCTCCTTTACAAACCAGTAGCATAGAAGCATTGCCAATATATGCCTTTCCAATCCTACATATATTTGTATTTCAAATAACACTTCAGCAGTCACTGAAATGAAATAATATGGGTACTTTCCTCAGACAATGCAGGTCACACAGAAATAGGGATGTTAGAAGACCATTTCAGAGAAGGAGTTCAAATATAGCAGAAGCCATTAAAAATTAACACTTGCCAACTGCTACCACAGTTACCATGGATCTCCCCCACCCTAACTATAAGGGATACTGTGGTAGCACAGATACCATTATGTGCTAATTTGGCAAATGATGGTTTATAAATGGCTATTGTCGTTTATATTATTGCATGCACTAAAGTATTATCAGCAGGAATTCTGTGAAGAGACAATCTAATTGTTGATGGACAATGCCCTGAGTAAATGGCCATTAGTGGACTGAAGTCAGAAGTAAAGATTTTCTTTAAACTCTGTCCATCAAAAGATGGATGTTAGTCTATTTTCAAGAGTGCCCCTCTCTGGGCTTGATTCAAAGCCCACTGAAGTCAACAGAAGTCTTCCCCTGCTTCAATGGGATTTCCATAAGTCCCCATAGAAACAACCTATACCAGGCTGAATATTACTATAAACATACCATTTATAATTATGTGAACTATGTGAACATTTTCACAGACATTTTTCAGAGTAGAATCATGCTTTAAGGTTTCAACAGCTTGCTGAATAGAATGCTTTTTTTCTCACATTTTTTGTTGTTTATAAAATACTTCACCCCCAATTTTGTTAAATTTTTCCACTTTATTCTGGTCCATTACCTTCCACTTTAGTCCCAACAAAAGTATCCTGCTATTGGTAAAGCTCCTTTCTCTGTGTTTGCAAATGTAGGATCTTCAACTATTTCCCCCAAATGGTCATCATCTCCACAATCCTATCATTCTTTTATTTAATTTTTCCAGTCCACTTCCAAGAATGAGTCTCTCTCATTAGCATCTGGAAACTACAACCTTATTCCTGTGGTTGTAATTCCCTAGACATATAAACAACAACCAAAACACACTTTTGTAAGTTAGCTTTGAACATCTCTTGTACATTTTTTCTTTAAATATTCACAATATTGTGGGAGACACGCTTTACTGAAAACTTCATAACGAACCTGGTTCTGAGTTTCTTTAAAATGACGAACTTTACATTAATCCAGAATTTTTGCAAGTCATGTTTTGTAGTTTCCATGAATATCTTTACTCTCGGTGGCATCTTTCATTCCTCTGCAATTTTGCTACATACAGTATTTTTCATACTTCATTTTTTAATCTAATGTAAATTTCAAGTTTTAATCCTTCGGGGGGTTCTATGCAAATGTTAAGACAATTTTAATAAAACATAAAATGAAATACATGTTTAAAAATTAAAGAAATATTTTTTTTATTCTGAATGATTAAGCACCCTTAG